CCATCACCCTCCCGGCTGCCTCCCCGCCCCCCGCCCACTGCGCCCAGTGCCCGCCGCCGCCCGATCGCGTCGTCACGATCGTGACTTATGTCACCGATCGCTGATTGACGTCGCCGCCCGCTGTTGTCGGCCCTCGGATCTGCTTCCCGACCACTGCCAGACATCCCACCGCCGCTGTCAAACAGTCCATCAACGTCGTCCTCGACGTTGAACTCGCTGGTAAGCTCAATTCTTCATCAATTCACATCAAATAAATTGATTTCTGATGAAAGTTACTGATCGCAACACGGTGGCAGGGTAATCAAAGCCATCTACTAATCCCGCCCTCCCCCGACGCCTGCCCGACGCGCCCGACATGTCCCCCGACCCCTCCACCCCCAAAAATGAAAAAGTTGCGGAATGTTGGGAAAATGATCCCAGTACAAACCGCTAATCAATATCTTCATTCGTTTAAGAGATATTAATAAAACTCCTTAACTCAATATTGTCATTAACTCAATCATTAATGTTGTTAACTCAATTCAACTGCACAATGGCTAGGGCTTGAATCTAAACATTGGTGGGCTTGAAACTATCACTAGTCAGCCTTTCTTCATGAGATTTCCATCTGTAAAATGGTCCAATTAGGTCTATATGACCCCATCATTGGAAAATGATCCAGCTCAACTTAGAGTGTATCTTCAAATATACTTAGTGGAAAGGGGTAATATGGGGCTCACCTTGAAGGTAACATCCTAGGGGAATACAATCTACAGTATCAAGCTAAGGAGTCATTGTATACCCATTGTATGTAGGATAAATTGTATGTTTTACCCAAGACATGGAACAAATGACTGATATCTTTATGATTACTAGATGGATAATCCTGATCTAACTTTATCCTTGTAGGGCATGTGGATATCAATGATTCTATGGATTTCTAGCCTCACAGCCTCAGCAGACAACACTGAATTACAGGAGCTCTAGGGTACATCCTATCATAAGCTGTAGGGCAGATATAGGGAAGGTTAGAGGGTTTTCTGGAAGGTGTGAAGATCCATAACAACTGCCCTTGAGGATCTGTCTCTACACCGCTAAGTACCAGAACTATAGATGTACTAGATTGAGTATAGATAACACTGATTACAACATTGCACAACATCTGGTATAGCTATGGCAGCAGTTGAAGCTCTGTTAAGGTTACTTTGAAGTCCCCTGATAGCCTATACCAATTTCTTAGATCATACTTGAAATTTATTTTGAGCAAGTGTTTTGGTGCGGACAGTCCCTTTCACTGCTAGTATCCCAACCCTACCTTTTGGTGTAACCACTGACACACTTGATTACAACACATATATAGAGGTAAGACTCATTCCAGATACCTAAATATACTTCTCTACCACATCTAAACCATAGAACAAACCCCCTAGGAGTGGAATCTTCCATATAGCATTATGTGACATCAGTCACTTCTGAAGAGTACAGCCTAACCTTCCCCAGGACTGGTGTTAAAGACTAATGTAGCTATGCTGAATGATTAATGCAAGGCCCTCTACAGCCCAATGCCTTCCAATAGCTTATCTGTGACCAGATCCCTGAGGAATATGGGTATGCCACCTGTGACACCTGAAGGAGTGACATATGAGTTTCTGGAATTTCACTTAACATGATAAGCTATTTTTAGATATAAAACTGTTCCTTGAAGTTCTCTGATACTTCTAACCCATTCCCCTATAGAATCTGGCAAAGTTTGAATGTTTCAAGGCCTATATAGCAAAATTTGCTATGAACAATTTCATATAGAATATAGAGCTGTAGTAAAGATATGGAGGTCATTAGGGTACTACAAGCATGGCTCAGCACCATATATATTCAGCTCATTTGGAAATATGAAGTACTGACTGACATAGTCAGGTATCACACAATGATACCTAATGCTTGATCATGAGCTTATCTTCAGATCACTACTTCTCAGACTAGATGGAGTCATTTGAGAGCCTTAGAAGAATTAAGGAAAGCTGAGATCAAAGAGATCAATGAATAATTGAGAGAGATATGGTGAAATTCAGACAATTGAGTTAACAACATTAATGATTGAGTTAATAACAATATTGAGTTAATGAGTTTTATTAATATCTCTCAAACAAATGAAGATATTGATTAGCAGTTTGTACTGGGACAGTTTTCGTGACATTCTGCAACTTTTTCATTTTTTGGGGTAGGGGGGCATCAGGGGGCACGTCGGGCATGTCGGGCAGGCGTCGGGGGAGGGCGGGATCAGTGGATGGTAGTGATGACACCGCCATTGTGTTGCAATCATAAAGTTTGATTGGAAATTAATTTATTTGATAGAAAATGATGAAGAATTGAGCTCACCATCGAGGGCAACGTCGAGGACGATGTCGGCGGACTATTTGACAGCGGCGGTGGGGTGCCTGACACCGGCGGGCAAGAAGCTCCGCGGCCGACGACAGCGGGCGGCGATCGGCGACGTCAATCAGCGATCGGTGACATAAGTCACGATCGTGACGACGACGCCGAGGCTGGGGGGCGGCGGCGGGCACTGGGCGCAGTGGGCGGGGGCGGGGGGCGGGGGCGGGGGGCGGGGAGGCAGCCGGGAGGGTGATGGCAGCCTCTGGGGCTGTCTCCCCGCTACCAAGACTGGCCTTGGTAGCCGTATTTAGCGGGGGTGCCCGCTACTGGCTCAACCCCCTCTAGTTAGAGGGAGAGAGTACCCCCCTCTATCCCTCTAACTAGAGGGTCTTAGGGTGCACCATAGGTGGCTCAAAGACTGGCTGTGGAAGATGAAAGACTGGATCTGAAAGACCAAAGATGATATGGAAAGACCAAAGTAGTGAAAGACCAACCTGCTGTTTTACTGATGATCGCACCGCGCACAAGCCTAATACGATCATGGCTCGACAGGGGCTTTTTTTTTTGGCAATACGCCCCGCCGCCAGTGCGCGTGCCGCTATGACATTGCCCTCAACGTGGGCGATCGAGCGAGACTTGAGGTCGTCCGGCCAGCCCGGTTTGCGGGGTCCCGCTCCCGGGCCTTCTCAAGCATGCTCTTTCTAGTGTCCTGAATTTTGTGCAGCGCCGGCCGGCGTGCCGGGCAGGTTCGTGTGCCCATGCTGAATGGGATGTAGGGCGCTGAGGCACATGGCGGCGCATGGCGGACCTTGACACACCACGTGATGACAGCACACGGGTCGTCCAGCGTTCTCGAACTGGAGGGGCGTGCACGGTTTTTGGCGCTGGGCTTCTGCGCCGGCCGGTGTGGAAGTGTGGAATGTCCCTTACATAGATTTTCCTTATGAGGCTGTTTCCGCTTTAGGATGCCCATCATCAATATTTGATGTGGCTATTTGTTTGTAGTCTACATCATCATTTAAGAGAACTCCTCACACCCCAACCACCACCGAGTTCGCAACCAGTGCCGAGATTGCTCCACCGAGGGCAGGTTGCTAGTGAACATCGAGCCCCCGACCACCAGATTCTTGCGCTTTTCGAGTCCCTGAGCCCCCGAGCTGAGCTTCACGACTGGAACGAGTTTCTGTGATTTTACCTTCACTTTTGCTTTCACTCTTACACGAATTCTTCCACTCTTTTCCCTCCGAAATCCTTTCATTCGTGCTCCCCCAATCCCGGACATATCGACCGTTCTTCTGGCGAACACTGCACAAGCCAGTACTTCCACAGTGGTGACCACCGCAGGGGGAAAGCTCTTCTATCCGGGCTTTCCTTGGTCGAGACAAGCTTTGTCCGTGTGTCTTTTACATCTTCTACACTCCCTTTCCCCACTTTCGAGCTCTTTCCTTCACATTCATGCCCTCCGACGACGAATCCCTCACTCTCGAGCCCACCACGCGTTTCCCTGCCCACTTCCACGTTGCAACGAGCCCCATCACACACGCGGCACGGAGATCTCTCGCGAACAACAGCAGAATTCTCACCAGTGGCGTCGGCCATCTCTATATGGCCAGAATTCTGCTGTTGTTCGCTTGAGATCTCCGCGCCGCGTGTTGTACATGCGTGATGGGGCTCGTTGCAACGCGGGAACGGGCAGGGAAACGCGTGGTTGGCTCGAGAGTGGGGGATTCGTCGTCGGAGGGCATGGAAGTGAAGGAAAGAGCTCGAAAGTGGGGAAAGGGAGTGTAGAAGAGTTAAAGACACACGGACAATGCTTGTCTCGACCAAGGAAAGCCCGGATAGAAGAGCTTTCCCCCTGCGGTGGTCACCACTGTGGAAGTACTGGCTTGTGCAGTGTTCGCCAGAAGAACGGTCGATATGTCCGGGATTGGGGGAGCACGAATGAAAAGAATTCGGAGGGAAAAGAGTGGAAGAATTCGTGTAAGAGTGAAAGCGAAAGTGAATGTAAAATCGCAGAAACTCGCTCCAGTCGTGAAGCTCGGCTCGGGGGCTCGGGGACTCGAAAGGCGCAAGAATCTGGTGGTCGGGGGCTCGATGTTCACTAGCAACCTGCCCTCGGTGGAACAATCTCGGCACTGGTTGCGAACTCGGTGGTGGTTGGGGTGTGAGGAGTTCTATTAAATGATGATGTAGACTACAAACAAATAGCCACATCAAATATTGATGATGGGCATCCTAAAGTGGAAACTACCTCATATGGAAATTCTACGTAAGAGACATTCCACACTTCCACACCGGCGGGGAAGGAAGCGGATGAAAGACTTACAACAGAGTAAGTCTGCTGTCTTGGGCGGACAGGAGTGATGCGGCGGTGTGACATGCTGTCGTCACCCTGTCTTCTCTTGTTCCTTCCCACCAGCCGCATCACACACTGGACTTCCGACTCGCCATTCGGGCCCACCCACCCACTCCTCTAATTTAATTTTATTTTATTTCTCATGATTCCTAATCATTCCTAGGTAAATTCTGTAAGATAGGGAGCATTTGTAGTAGTGTGAGGGTTCATCCTCGGACCTTCGTGCTATGCCCAGGAGGGGGCTGTGCCCGTCTCTCCTTGCCCAACTTAATCAAATGCTTTCCTGTGCTGATTAGTGATCTAGACAGAGAACGAATGGAAGCGCCCAAGAACGGCCAGTCGTGCGCTGGACGCGCGTTCGACCCCCCCGCGGCCCCTGGAAATTTTGGAAGAGAAGCTTTGTTGGCCGTGGTGGAGAGGCAAGCGCACCGAACCCATGGCAGCCGTGAGCAGAACGCTCCAGGTATCCGCGTCCTGTTCGAGCTCGTAGACATCCAGGACGAGCGTCGAGCGTGTGTAGATTGTCGAGGGCGTTGCGCGGCAGAGGCCATTCCGCCATTGCGCGCAGCGTCCGTGCGTCTCCGGAAAGCAACAGCGTTTTGAGATTCATTCTCGGCGGAGGGCGCTCGGCATGTTGAGAACGAAGCAAGTCCAACCGGAGGTCGTCTTGAGTCCACTGCCAGCAGAGGCCGCTCAGCGGATTGGGCGACATGTCGGGTACCCGACAATTGCTTATGTCGATGATGTCCGAGCTGGATAGAGCGCGGCCCATTGTACGCCGTCCCGCAACTCCGTCTGAATTGTGAGAACGAGCGGGAGCCGGGCAAAGTCTGTCCACGCACCAAAGAAACTGCGCCAGCTCCTTCGACTTGTCTAATCCGTACTCTCGTTGAAGTCAGCATCGTTCGTGCGCAGGGCGGCTCGCAGGCGCACAGCACATCATCGTGGCGTGTCGTTGTGGAGCGAAGGAAAGAAGTGATAGATTGATGTCACGCTGGGCGGTCCTGATGCCGATCGCCGATCACCGGTGCCACGTAAGCACCCCCGGCTTGTCTTCTCCCTCCATGTCCGCGCCGCAGACACGCTCCCGCCTCGCATATGAGCACACCTGGGACGCGAATTGCTCCGTGTGACGTCAAGGCCGGAGTTCCCACCCCCCAGGATGTCCTGTCCTCAACGCCGCTGGCCGGCGTTGGGCACAAATGCAGAAGGACTGACTTTACATGCATGGCTTGAGGTGCGCCTTCTTTTGTGTTTCACCCCCCCGCATCTCTTTTTCACCTGCCTACTGATCGACAGTCTTATACGATGGTCCTTGTGCTCAGCGTGATCCCGGGTCGACATTCCCTCTTCTCCACACCAAAGCTCGCGGTTATGGTGAGGCGGAATCTGTGCATAATCATCCCTGCAATTGCCAATCAACCGCTCAAACTCTGGCAGCTTCTGCCTCCATCCCTCTCACGGATTCTGCGCCCACGCATAACAAAACTGCAGGCTCGACAACGAAAGGCGGTTGACCTTCAGAATGAAATGCGTCTGTTGCTCCTACACGCATTCTGACCGCACATATTGCCCCTCCCAGTTCAGCGCCGCAAACCGCTAGGCCGCTCCTCTCTCTTGCTGTGTTGCGTGGTCAACAGGATCGGTGGCGGCGGCTCCCGATTACTCGGAGTTCACCACTGGCAGGCCCTTCCGTCGCGAACTCCCAGAGCAGATCTTGCCGCCTACAATAACGTACGATGGCATGTCGGAGCTCGTCCTCTGCTTCGAGCTCATTCCCTGGACCACCCCCGACGTCGTGGCGATTACGCAAGCTGAGCAGGCTCAGGCTTTCTCGGTCGCCACTCGAAGCCGACCCACACGGGTCTGCCGGCGCCGGTTCGACCCTCGGCCGGACGGTGTTGGATAGCGAAAGAGCACAAGGATTTTTGGCATGCATTGCGCGGGGGGCACGACGCGGCCGCGGAGGTGCGCAGGTAGCCCAGGCCTGGGGAGCGCGGGCCAGGGATGACGCGGATTCGACCCTGGGCCCATTCTTGTACATGCAAATCCCTGTTTCGGTGCGGGGGCGGGTTCGATCCCCGGGGGGGCGCGTGAAGAAGATGCGAGGAGTTTTTACCCCAGGCTGGCTGTTGTTTGGGCATGGCCACGGGAGGGGGCAACCCGCGGCGTGGGCATGGCCAAGGATGCGAAAATATATGATGGTCTGCATTATCCTAGGGAAAGAAGGAATACGTTGGGACACACGGATGGAGTAATTTGCACCCAATTTCGGCCCAATTTGGAAAACTCACAAGAAACGACACGTGGCCGACACGTGGCGTGATGTCACGCAGCACTTCTTGGCTCCGCCCCTCATGGACCTCCCACTCGAACTCATAATCGCGATTGTCGGCAACGTTGACAGCACGGAGGACCTGGCGTCGTGTGCTCTCGCGGCCCGGCGCTTCCGCTTCGCCTGCCAACAGCGCCTCTTCAGCACGCTCTGGCTCGGTGACGCCGACGCCGGGGGCAAAAAAGGCTTCCTGGAGGCCGCGGCGCGCTTCGAAGCTTGGCCCCACCTTGCTCCGCTCGTCGCCAAGGTCTATCTCGTCGTCGGCAGGCTCCCTAGCAAGTGGGCCGGCGCCGTCGGCGCGGGGGAGGCCATCGCTGGCCTCTTCGCGCGCCTCACAAGGGTCACCTCATTGACCATCTTTGGCGACAATGGCTCATGGAAATATGCTTCTCCCATATTGGCTGATGCGCTCGCGCGTTGGTTTGCAGGCATTCCCCGGGGCACGTTTCGACACGTGTCCTTTTCGTTCGTCTGGGACATCCCGCGCGCCATCGTCCACGACGTGTTCCGCGCGCTGGCGCCGCATGCGCGAGTCCAGTTCGAAATGACAAGTCCTGACGACGCACCGAGCACCGCTGTGGCTCCATACGCGATGTCGCCGTTTGAACTGTACTGCCAAGCCAGCCCCCGCGTGCAGCTTCCGTTCACGGAGCCCGAATTTCGGTCAGCCATGCAACAACTGCGCAAGCTTGTTGTCCCCGTAAACCACGGTACTGGGTTTTCAAACGCGATGCGACTCTGCCAGGCGGCAGCAGGGAATATCCAACATCTCGAGCTTCTTGGAGATGGTACGCTTCGTTTGAGATGCCGCGGTATACTGAGTGCTCGCGATTAGGGGGCCGCTTCGATCCCGACTCGGGCAACATCACGCTGCCGAAATGCCTGTCTGCTCTCACCCATCTCACGGTCGAGGTCGCCTCGCTCGCGGACGAGCTCCGCGCTGATGCCCGCACCTCCGAGTCCGGGCGGCTTTGCGGAGTCGTGCTGCCGCTGCTCCGTCCCGCGGTTACTCCGCGGCTCGCGGCCCTCAGGCTGCTCTCCCGCCTGGTAGACGACCCCACGCGCGACTTGTCACTCCTCGCAGACATTCCCGGCTTCCTCGTGCACGCGCTTCGCCAGGACGCCGGGCAAGCCCGTCTTCGCCTAATTGACGACGCGCTGGCGGGCCGGCGCGTCCGATTGGCGCTGCAACTCACGGTGCATTCCCCGGGATCACAGCAATCCAGTCACTTTAGTGCCCACCACCCTGCCCCTTCAACACCCGCCTCTCAGACGCACTCTATAGCACGGTGCTCGTCGCATATTTCCCGCTCTCGTCGTGTGCTCCTTCCGCAGAGGACACAACGAACTCTTTGCCTCCCGATCGGGATCGCTGACAACACCCCTTCTTCGGCGGGATGCTGACGGCGAATACGGCGGACCAATACTTCTCGGACGGCAAACTCCCTGCTCGCCCCGCAATCTTTACATCTGGGATTCAAACCGGTCGGGCCGTGACCCGTCATTCCGCGACGGTCCCTCCAGCGCTTAGCAAGCGGTCCAACGCATTGTTGCGGACCAGGCGTCACTCGACACCTATAAACTATGCCACCGTCACATCACAGTCAACAATGGGGCTCTCCTCTTTCCAGCGCGTGCCACTCGAAGTCGTTGAACGCATTGCGAACTATACCATCGATTCCGTCCCTCACGTCCGCTGCAGCTCGCTGCTGGCGCTCATCAAAACCAGCCGCGTCTGTCATGCCGCCGGCACGCGCACTCTGTACCGTGCCATCTACATTGGGGCTTATACCCCCGCCCCAATCCTCGCAACACTCGCAGCCAACGTTGACTATGCTAGACGAGTGCGCTCAGTTTGGTTCTTCGCGCCACAGCGGTGCGTCGTCGGTTCTCTTTATTGCCACCGACTAATGGTACCCAGCGATGTCGTTCCCGGGCACGGAGACGATTTCGAAAAACGTCTTCTCGAGGCCTTTGCGAAGCTCACTCTTATCCGCACGCTCCACGTGGCACACGGCTGCGATGACCTGCTTCTTGGACTCGCCACCATCCGGTTCCCCCTCCTCCGCGCTGTTCATCTCGACAAGTTCGGTCCCCGCGCGGTCGCATTCATAGCCCTTCACACGCAACTCGAGACGTTAGATGCGGATTACACGCCGCGACACGCCCAGAATCTTCCTCTCCCCTTCCTTGCCAATCTTGGCGTCTTCCGCGGGGCGTGTTCGCTCGCGGCCCGCATTTGTCAACCCACGCAGCCGCTGACGCGTCTTCGACTCACCGAAGAAGATGACAGGCATGGCGCCTCTCGCGTATTCGCCTCGCTCGCCCCTGTGTCTAGCCTCCGGGCTGTCGAAATCGACTGGTTTTCATGGCACCGTGGCCTGATGGATGCGCTTTCACGCGCGGCACCGAACGTGGTGTCTCTCGCCGTGGAAGCGCGGGATTGGCCAGCTGACGCGGTGCTGGACGGGTCCTCGGATGATGTCAGGACGAGAGAGGTGTGTGTTCCAGCGTAGCTTCTTTCCCTCCTCCGTTTCTACGACGCCACCTGCTGCAGGCGTTCGTGGAGTCGGTGGCCTGTGCGCTCCCGACGATGCGACATCTGTTCCATCTCGATATTGACCACGCGCTCCACACGGCGGTTGATGTCGGTTCATCCCGTGCCGGAGACGGCACTGTGCGGCTCCAGCAGCACATGCAGCAACTGGACTCCGAAGCGGCATGGGTCCACCGCTGGGGCGCTGCATCTCCCGTTCTTGGTGTCTGCACGCTTCCCGCCGCGCGCTGGTGGCGATTCGCAGACAACACATGGACTCCGATAACGATGTTTACAGACCCCGAAACGGCAGGCTATGTCTTCTCCTGGACGCGGGCCCGCCGGACAGCAGCGGAGTCGGTTCGGATTGTGGCTGCTGGTATCCGTCGCTGGGAGGAGATCCGAGTGGGGACGTCAGACTGCGCTCGACGGTTGAAGGAGCTTCAGGCGTTGCAAGCGGCGAATGGACAGGAGTTTGAAGTTCGATTTATTGTCTAGTTTTCGATATCATGTATGTACCATGAGATACATGCATATTTTGAGTGGAGCGGGTAGAGCAGCCGAGGCTTGTTATGGCGTCGTCACGACTGTGTGAGCTCTGCTTACCACGACCACAACGTCTCCAACCGTTCAGTCTAAAAGACGCCCCAGAGTGAATTCACCAGACCAAAATGGCCTTGACAAGGGTTCGTCTCAGGCTATCGCTAGCGGCAAGACCTATCTGATCCATGAACTTGCAACATGTATGTACATGGTCTCCAAACACTTTCATTATGGTGTTCTAAACATTGTCATTCCCCTCATTGCTCAATTCTTTCTCCACTCAACCCTCCAGCTCCACAATGCGTCAAGTGACATCGTCTCCATACCAGAACAACGCTCAAGCAGCTGGGCTTGCAGCACGGCTGGCTGAGGCAAGGAAGACCGATACTCGTCGGTGATCTGCAAAGATCCAGCAGCAAGACAGTCGATCTTGATTGCGGCCAGACCAGAGGGTAGTGTAGTTGGAAGCTCAGTGAGGAATGCACCAATCTGCAAATGTTATCAGTGACCCAAGTGCAGACAGAGAGAGGGGAATAACTCAACCTCCAATAAGGGAGTGTCTTCCAACCACACTCTCCAATGGAGCCCCCGCAAAGTGGGAAAGTGGGATAAGATCATGGCCCATGTCTGATGATCGCCGTCATCAATGCTTAGGGAGACTGTAGTGATCGCGCGGGAAATGTTGATGCGTTGGAATGTGGAAAGCAGGGTATTGGCAGCGCAGTGATGGACATGTAATGTGTCGATTGTTGGCAGTGCTGGGAGGAGTGCAATCAAGCTCTCGCAGTATGTTTCTAGTGCGCGAAGTTGAGGGTATCCAACTGCCAATGGTATGCTTTCCTCCGCCGATCGCACAAACAGCCTCTTCACTTCGGGAAATGCTCGTTGGAGATCCACCCAGGTGGCGGAAGTGAAGGCCGGGATCGATACAAAGTTCAGGCGGAGACTGTGCACATTTGGCAGCACAGTTTGGTAATTGTCTGCTGAATCGAATATTTCCAGCCGAGATCGGGAGAAATCTGGGTGCAAATTCACGTCATTGAGGGTAGATGGATTGCAGAGGTACAACCAGCACCAGAGACGAGCTGCTTCGGTGTCCTTCACCTGGGATATTTTCAACATGGAGACACATAAGCGAATATCCAATGCTCGGATGGCGTCGATGAGCACATCTGTGCTCATGTTCCAGTCAAATCGGCATGCAAGGAGATCGAGATTAAGTGGGCCGCGCAACCGTGACAGATTGACGAGTGCAGCAAGGGTGAACATGGTGCCTTGACAGATGACTGTGCGGACGTTCGTGAGTTTGTCGATACGGGCGAAAAGCATATTTGAGAGCTCGTGAGTGTCCGATGCATTGTTGAAGTCGATTCTTTGCATATAACCTGCGTGAATAAGCGCCTGCGGCATCACAAGTTTCAGCACTCGGACATGCGGCGCAATCGCGGTTGACAAAAAGAAGCTAATTTTGACGACAAAAGCTTCCACACGATCTTGCGAGGGGAGGGAGAGTTGTTCCTCGTCTTCATCGTTGTCCTCATCTTCATCATCAGTGTCGTTATCTAGATCGCCATCGATCTCTTCATGTACACGTGTGACGTCGTAGGGCTGCAAGCAAAGCTCGCTGAAGAGGATTGGGCGGACAAGGAGTCGCAGGCGACGCGAGGCAAGAGCGACATTCTTCTGGTCTGTTGCCTGGAGATCTTTGAGGATCTCACTGATGAGCTCGTTGGGAAGCATGGGGTGTGCTGGCGACTGGTCCTTGTGGAGCAAAGTCAAGAAGGGCGATGACGGCATCGACAGAGATTGATGTCACGGCTCCGGTGCCGATCGCCGTGGACACGTAAGCACAGCACTCACGACTTGTCGTTTCCTCTCATGTCCGCACCAATGCTATCGTGAAGGAGCTTTCTTTCGCTGGATCGCTGAAGAGCAAGGACGGCTTGAGCCTTGAGGACACGAAACAGGTGTGTACCACCCTCCGAGGTATCATGATGTGTTTTGTCTGAAATTCACCAGATATACTTAGCGGCGGACGGCAAGAGATGGGGAAAGTTTGGGGCTGGCGACTGGGTTCATGAGGTGCATGGCCACAGTCTTCCTTTCCGCGCCGTCGCTGCCATTTATTTGTAGTATTGTACCGGCGCACCATTTTCAATTGAGGGGGGACTCTCCGGACTCTCAGTGTGTATAGCGCTACGAGCCTACGACCATGTATTTCGCCGTGTTCAAGGCATGACTTTCCCTGGTCTCCCCCCTCTCAGCGTTGCCAATGCCACGGATCCCAGCCCAAACATGCCGTACTAGATTTGTCCCTAGTGATAATACCTCGAACCTTTGGCGTTTCTTCTTATCCCCGATCACCGTTGTCCGGAGGCGAGCGCAGCTGCCGCGGACACCTTCTCTCTTCCGCTCCACGACGACGCGTTGGCGCCTGCGCTGGACACCCAGAGAATGGACAGTCCGACGAAAGTCACGACTTACCGCCCCATCTCGTTGTCACCGAATGGTCACTGTAGGGCGGAATCCATCTAAGGATTTCTCAGGGAAGTACAGCCAGTGAATCTGTCGTCCTGTGTGAGGCCAATTTTAATATGTATGGTGGCAAATTAGACGCACCTCTGTTGCAGATGGCGTCTCCTGTCTCCGGATAGCCTTCTCGTCGGCGCTTCCTAGCATGGTTCCTCATCGCCCTCTGCACTCCCCAGCGCGTCGCGTCTTCAGATTCCAGGCGGAGCACCGGCGGCGGCATGCCCGAGACAGCAGCCTTAGTCGACTACCCCCCGATCTCGGGGACGCCGTGTCGTCCCAGCACGTGGCGCCGCACTTGGAGAAGGGTCGTGGGCCGGGAAGAAGATGGAAGTCAAGACTAAGACGTGATTGACGTGGCACGTGCAACACGGCATGGTCCGTGCGCGCCACGTCAATCACGGGCAAATCCCCGTTTCCCTTCCTTCCTTCCGCCCCCTTCTCCCTCCGGCAATTCTCTGAAGTCGGAGGTGGCACCACAGTCGACAAGCCCAGAGAGTGAGAGCTTCAGCGCGGCTGGTGGTGGACTCGAGCTCTAACGGGAGGTGGAGGGAGTTTGCCCCAGGGGCAGCGGCAACGGTGTACTGCTTGGGCAGTTTCTTTTCGGGCTCATTGTAGGGCAAGGAACTGCATTCATCATACAAAGAGGCAAAACGATTTATAGACGCGAACGAGGGCACACCAGTCACTCGTTGCGGGGGACAAAATCCTCTCCGGCCATCGACTCCGCTGCCGTCTCCGGCAGGGCAGCTGTGTCCGTGTAGCGGGCGATCAACTCCGCTAACATCTCGTCACCGAGTTGTTGGATCACCTCGTCGAGGATGTCCATCGAGCGGACATCGGCGGGGAGGGGGGCAATCCCGGGCGAGATGGTTCGGGTCGCCGCACCTGAAGCAGGCGCGACGAGGGGCACCCCGAGCCCTGGTGCGATCCAACTCCATAGGGATGGGAGCTGGAGGCGCCGGAGCGGGGGCGCGGGCCGCGGGTGGCACGACCGGAGCCACCGGGCGGAAAGGGGCCGGAGCCGGGATGCGGTTGACCGGAAACGGAGTCCGAATCAAACCGCCAGGCGTCTTGGGGGCGGCTGACTTGATCAGCTTGGCCCGGACCAGGGCCTCGTATTGACGGAAGGCCCGGGTGCGCCAGCTAAGGTAATCCCGGAGGTCCGGGGGGTCGTTCGAGGACGTGATTCCGTTATTGATCAGGGGGTCAAGTCCGTGGCAGAACTTGGTCACCTTGACCAGCGCGTCTTTGAATCCGGCGAGGTCCATCAGGTCCTCGAAGTCGTCGGTGTACTGGTAGACATCCTTTGTACCCATGTGATAGGCGGAAGTCTCCAGCTTGGAGAGAGCGTGATCTTGCTCATTCTCCTCGACGAACCGGAGTCGAAACTCGGAAACGAACGGGCCCCAGGACGGAAACGGAAACGGGGCTTTGCTTCCGTGGCGCTCCGCCCATTGCTGAGCGGGTCCTTCTGCCATAAACGACATGGCATAGCGGACAGCCTTTTCCTCGCTCGCCTCTCCGTTGACCATGAAGGCCTCAGGGGCAAGGCGGGCGTAGGTGCGGACCGCGTGAGAGGAACGCGGCCGCGTTTCCGGTCGCCATTGAAGGTGAACGGGGGGTTTGGTCGCAAGACCAATTTTGAGGCGAGGTTGATGTCGCCAAAAAGGGCTTCGAGTCGCCCTGGACCGGAGTCGGAGTCGGAATCGACGTCTCCGGCGATGGTGTTTGGGGTCCGCCAGCATTATTAGCGGCGGCAGCGGCAGCGGAAGCCTGGTTGGTGAGTAAAGCAAGGGCCTCAGTTAGGCTATCGATTTTCGCCTCGAGTGAGTCCAGCCGGGCGTCTGCGGTAGGAGTGACTCCGGACGGCATGACGGCTGCGGGGACCACAGGAGTAGAGGAGGAGGGGACAAGTGGCAGGGGCGGTGACGAGGGCGGAACGGACTCGTACTCCGAGCCTGAGTCAGCGCCGAACCTGGCAATCTTGTCCGGTTGATCCCGTAGAGAGTTTCTTCTGCTGTAAGGGCAACCCCGGAGGCCTGAGATCAAGGTCCTAGCAGGGGAGGATCCAAAGGCGTGAACATTGGTAAGCGAATACAAATGAAGCTGACCTAGCAGGGGAGGATCCAAAGAGAAGAAACTCTAAGGGTCCGCCTGCTAGGTAGCTGACTATATACTGCTTGTCCGTAGCTGCCGCTGTCGGGCACAGAAGGCTTGGGCGGCGTCGCAGGCGAGGTCCCAGGGCGACCGTCGGGAGGGCGTTGACGGATCGGTGATTGTGCGGGCGAGATGGAGGGCCGGACCGGAGTCGGAACTGGAGTCGGAACCGGAGTCGGACCGGAATCGGACCGGAATCGGGCGCGTCTCCGGGCCGAAAGGAAGGTTCCCCTGACAAAGAAGAGGCGGTAGGGCAGCGGGATGCT